CTTAAATTCTTGTTCTTTTCCCTCTCAATTTGTCATCTTATTGTACATTCCTTTGGGATGCTAGGTATTTCATCTGTATGTTTCTTACTGCCCCATTGAGACTGGAAGTTCTGTCAGCAGAAGTGATAAACACTTTTGTTCTTTTGTGGAGTTTTGAGGGCATTTTTGGGTAATAATGACAATGTTTATGAAGTGATTGGCTAATTAACCAATTCATGATCCCCACTGGACTTACGTATTTTAACAACAATGGCAAATTTAAAAAATGTGCTTGGTTAGCTCAAAGTCTTTTTGAAGTAGTCTTCAGAACATGGTATGTAAAAAGATCCTTGGTCTGAGAGTCAGAAGTGTTTTTGCTTTTTCTCTTCCACTAACCAGCTGTGTGATCCTCAGCCAGTAATTGCCTTTCTCCTGGGTCTCGAGTCCATCCTTTGTAAAATGGAAGGATTGGCTGAGATCATCTCTAAGGTCCCTTCCATCTTTAAGTTTGTGAATCAAAGAGTTTAGGTCACCTTCATCAACATTACTAAAGCTTTTAACACTTCATTAGGACTGAATTCAAGTTTCCAGGATTATTCAGTTTCCCCAAGTAGTCTGATAATTTCAGTGCCTAAACTGAGAAGGTAAATTGTGATTTTATCAAATATACCCCTAGTAAGATACATTCCCTCTTGTCAAGACTCCTTTGGAGTGATATGCTATCTCTGATCCTAGCCAAATCCTTTCACACCCAGATGAAAGACGGATTAGGTGATGAGGTCCTTAGAAACTTTTTAATACAAGCATGCTGTGCTCCTCCAGGTGAGGTGGCTCACACCTGTAATCCTGGCACTTTGGGAGGCTGAGGTGGGATGATTGCTTAAGGCCAGGAGTTCAAGACCAGCCTGGGCAACTTAGTGAGACCCCCCCCCATCTCTACAAAAAATAAGAAAAATTAACTGGATGTGGTGGTGTGCACCTGTAGTCCCAGCTACTCAGGAGGTTGAGGAAGGAGGATCATTTGAGCCCACAAGTAGCCCAGGCAACAGAGGGACACCCTGTCTCAAAAGAAAAAAAATGCTGTGGAGTTTTCAGCAAATTTCTTACAAAAACTATTAATCTATCATTTTGATAACTTACCCTAAGCACCCACTGAACAGAGGGCCATAGCAACAATAACCACCAGTGATTCTCTAAGGATTGTAGTGACATTTCCTGAAAGTTCTTGACATTGAGTTGCACCCTTAATTTTGTCTTTTAAAACTCTAGGTAGAACATTCCACCCCTTAACCTGCCTCCAATTTCCCTCCTTCACCTCACTCTCCTCCTAGCCCTGTTCAGTCCTGTCTGCTCCCTAGCACTTTCCTCCCTACAGTGAACCATCCCTTACTTTGATATGTAGGTGTCTGAGAGATGTAAGGCACAGGGCAGGTGTGTGAAGATCAGTAAGAGGACAGGAGCTGATACGAAGTTGGGATCTGCAGGTTCAGCTTCAGATATACACATTCAACTTCAGTTCTACAAGTTCAGCTTCAGACAGAATAAATATACATGAAGAAATTTAGACTCAAATGTATCTCTTCCATCTTTTGTTTTGCCTTTCTTGATGTTTGCTAAAAAATACATTTTATTCATCCATCTACTTTTTAAATTTATTTTTGAGATAGGGTCTCTCTCTGTTGCCCAGGCTGGAGGACAGTGGCATGATCATACTCACAGTAACCTGCAACTCCTGGGCTCAAGCGATCCTCCTGCCTCAGTCTCCTGAGTAGCCGGGACTACTAGGCATGCACCACAATGCCTGGCTAATATTTTAATTTTTGTTGAGATAGGGACTTGCTGTGTTGCTCAGGTTGGTCTTGAACTGCTCTCCTCAAGCTATCCTCCTGCCTCGGCCTCCCAAAGTGCTGGGATTACAGGCGTGAGCTCTCGTGCCCAGCTGAGCATACAATCTTCTAACGCATACACAGAAATCTCAAATTTTTAGAAATGCAAATCATATACAATTCTACGAACACCTGAGGATATTTATTTTCAAGACCCATACATAACTGGAGTCCTTTTCTTGGTGTAATCGTGAAGCCTGTAAATTTCCTTGGCCATGCTAACCATGGCAAGTTTTCTTGCCTTCTAGCTCCAGTTCAGCAGTGATTTGGTGAGATATCTGTGGCAATCATTGTAAACAGAACTTTATCTTACTTTTTCTTCCTTCCCTCACATTGACAAAACACTGTTATCAGTTTTACTTGGGATGGTCAAAAGACCTTGAGAACATTGTACTTCAATCTAAATGTTATAAGAATTTGGCAACTTTCCCTACTGCAATAAATGACTACTCCTTCCTTCCAGGCGTTCAGGCTAAAAACCTGGGAGTCAACCTTTACTCCTCCTGTGCTCATACCTCATACCCAGTTTACAGAAATCCTGTGGCTCTAAGTCATCATGATACCTCACCTTAATTAGTGCAATACTCTTTTCACTGGTCTCCTGGCTTCTACCCTTATCCTCTCTATGGTCTAATTTCAACATAGGAGTCGATATGATCCATTTAAAAGTTAAGTCACATCAGCCTACTCTTCTGCCCAAAACCTTTCTGTAGATCCCCATCTTAGAGTAGAAGTTAAGTCCCTTATAAAAAGTCTGTATGTTCCCATGCCTTCTGGCTCCCCCACCAGGCTTCCTCCCACTCATACCCTCTGACCCTATTTCTGCCCACTTCCCTGTTAGGAATGCTCTTTCCCCACATATCTGCATGGCTAGTTACTCCCTCTTTCCTTCTTCGCTCAAATGTTACCTCAGGGAGGCCTATCCTGACTAGCCTAAATATGCACTTGTCTATACTCTGGTTTCTCTTCAGATCGTATGAATCTTTCGCCTTTTAAATATGTGTCTACACACATCTAAGCATCTCCTATTGTGCGCTCCAGTTTTCTCCACAGCATTTATCATTATTTAATACAGAAGCTCCCAAAGTTGCCAGAACTTTCTAGCAAGTTCCCAAGTAATGCTGATGTCGGTGGTCCAGGGACCACACCTTTGAGAACCACTGCTTCAGAGAAATCTTTTCTCTTAGGTTCTCAATCTTCCTGTTTGGGGTAGGGCTAAACCACATAAACTTCAGGGACCACCTAAAAAAACTCAGAATGCTAGGCCCTAGCCCTAGAGTTTCCGATTGACTAGGACTGAGGTAGGGCCTGAGAACCACGGGTTGAGTACAATATATGACATACTTTTATTAAGTTTGTCTGTTTCCTTTCCATTAGAATGTAAACACTATGACGCAGGGATCTTCTTGTTTTCTGCTGTTTCCTCTTGCAAAAAACAATACCAGGCACATAGTGGTTGTTCAATAAATACATGTTGAATGAATAAATGAAAATTGTCTTATCCTAGTGTTACATCAGAAAATGTCTCCTAATTTTATCATTAGATTTTATATTAAAAATGCAAATACAAAGTTAAAAAACATTATTATAGTTCAGTCCCCTCATGCAAGAAAGCATTTTTAAACATTGGGCCACAGAAACAACTGAGATTTCCTGATATTTGGGAAATAAATTATTGTTAACAATTTACACTATTATTATAGCATTAATATTAACAACAATGAACATTTATGGAATGCTACCATGTGCTAAGCACTCCATGTACTGTATCTCATTTAATATCACAACAATCTCTGAGGTGGCTAGTGGTGTCACGCTTTACAGAGTAAGGGCTGTTACACCACGTAGCCCACTCACCAGTGGACTCCATGGCTTCGATGTCCCCTTCCCTCCATGTGCTCTCCCAATTGGGAGCCAACAGGTAGGGTGTGAAATAAAAGGTGATGAGTTTGCTTTTTCGTATCCAGACATGTTAAGGTTTGAATTAAAATCTGCTGATCTATAAATTTACCTCTTAAAACACTAAAGCTCATCCTAGCCATTTTTCTATTATAAGAACATTCTAGAGAACTATATCAGAGTACTAGATTTCCAGATGCAAATGGTGAACCCTATACATGTTCATATATCTTGTAAAAG